AGGGAGAGAGAGAGAGAGAGAGAGAGAGAGAGAGAGAATGAGGGGGAGAATGAAAGAGAGAATGACAGAGAGACAGAAAGGAAACAACAAAGAAAGTAAGACAAAAAGAGGGGCAAAAGTAGGGAGAGAAAGTGTAAAAGTGAGTGAGAGAAAGTGTAGTCTAGTAAGAGAGAGAGAGAGAGAGAGGGGGGGGAGAGAGGGTGGTGAGAGAATGAGAGACAGGAATTGTACAAACAACTCTGACAAGATCAAGTTAGTGATTCTTAGTTAGAGCTATTCAGACTATTTTATGAATAACTGCAGCCCTGTATTTGGGCAGAATGCCGTCGAAATATAAACTTTCTTAAGACTCAAGACGGCATACCGTATAAGTATCACTTCCGATGTTCAGACGGCACGCCGTCGAAATATAAATTACGATCTTCAGACGGCATGCCGTACAAGTATCACTTCCGATGTTCAGACGTCATGCCGTAGAAATATCACTTCCGATGTTCAGACGGCATGCCGTGGAAATATCACTTCTGATGATCAGACGGCATGCCGTGGAAATATCGCTACCCATATGTATATATCAGTGAATTACGGCTACAGACAAAAAATGAAGAAAACTTCAATCTAAAAGGAAGGGTGGGGGGTAATTATGCATTGTTAAACTTGCATTTTATTACAGTGTGTGTGTGTGCGCGGGCTTGTGTTTGTCTAAAAAGAAAAAGAAAAGTCTAAAAAGAAAAAGAAAATGTTAATTTCAATAATGAAAATAAAAGTAAATTGAATACTGTATTATTTTACTACTTACAGTGACAAGGGGGAAAGCAGACTTTTAACTATTTTAAGCATGATTATATTAGTCTACTAAACCTTATATAGGCCTACTGTTTTATAAAACCAAGGAAAGGAATTCTGAATATTTAAAGATGTAAAAACAGAATACATTTTTTAAAAGTGATTTAAATCACTGAGTTTTATTTTTAAAATCAAGTTGATTTAAATTTTAAAAAATCAACTGATTTAAATCAACCCAACCCTGATTTTAATTATGAAAAAAAGTCAATTGAATACTGCATTATTTTACAGTGACAGCAGGGGGGAAAGCAGACTTTTAAGCATGATTTTATGTTAGTCTACTAAACCTTATATTCTGTTTAATAAAACCAAGGAAAGGAATTCTGAATGTTCAAATATGTAAAAACTGAATGCATTTTTAAAAAGTGATTTAAATCACTGATTTTTATTTCAAAAATCAAGTTGATTAAAATATTTAAAAAATCAACTGATTTAAATCAACCCAGCTCTGATTTCAATTAAAGAAAAAAAAAAGTAAATTGAATACTGTATTATTTTGCAGTGAAAGGAGGGAAAGCAGACTTTTAAACATGATTATATTAGTCTACTTAAACTTATATGTATATCAGTTTTATGAAACCAAGGAAGGAATTCTGAATGTTGAAATATGTAAAAACTGAATAAAAATAATTTTAAAACAAAGTGATTTAAATCACTGATTTTTATTTAAAAATCAAGTTGATTTAAATCTAAAAAATCAACTGATTTAAATCAACCCAACCCTGCTTTTTGGCCTAGCCTAGGGCTAGTGCTATACCAGATCTAAATCACGTTTGAAGTGGTTCACACAACGTATCTCTCCGCACGATTTCTCTCTAGGCCTACTGCCTGCCCCACCTCACTCATCACTGGACTAGCCAGTCACAACGCCGACTGCCTGTTTAGAGGCCGCCTACAGCGCCCCCACCCCCCAACTAGCGCTCGCTCGATCTGTCCCACTGTATCCGAGTTCGGGACTTTCCTTGTCCTGATCCAAGCATAAGTAATTGAGTTTACATGAAGAAAAAATGGGTTTCCGGTAAGGTCCCGCTGTAGGGATGGTCCCGCTACAGTCATGTTCTACTGTATTAACATACTCCGGAAACTTTGTAACCTATCAGTTAAGCATGGCTGATGGGCTGCAGTTAGCCGCAAGTGTGAAATTTACCTTGCGAAACACATTGATACGGATAATATAATACGTCAAGCCACTGACCCAACATGTCATTCCATGCGGTACCTCCAAAGATTCTCTACTGTACCATGTATACACGATCTTTGGTACTTCCACGGCCTTATTAAAAATAGTCTGTGGGTATCCCAGGAAGTGATGACATCACATTACTAAAATTAGCAGCCAATCAGGAAAATGTGTGTCGTTCTACGTTTAGTCGCATGTGCTGCTAAGGGTGAACCAGTCTCTTTTACAATTCGAAGTAATCGAAGTTAGGCAAAAATAATATTGGGACTCTGAATTAAGTCAGGCATGACGTCCATTCCGACTTCTGACCCTTGTTCCTATTTAGATATTTCCAGCATGATCATGAAAATATTTTTGTTATAATGATAACAATCGAGATGTGAGCTTTAACATCCAGTTACTAGACCTTTGCCCTCCCTGAATCATTAGTATGAACAGTACAACCAAGTTGAGTTGACCTTGACGGGGGCAAAGTTAATTATGTCGACCAATGAGATTGCGTGTAGCGATCTCGCACTCTCGGCTTGCTAAGGGAAGAGGTGTTGGGAAGAGGCCATGGCTGCCGACTTTTGTGTGATGTGATATAAAAATTTAAAAAAATTAATTACAGAAAAACTATAAACAACAAAGTGAAATTAAATGTGTGGAAAGACATATAGTGGTGGAAGTAATGTTGATGCTGTGTAGGCTTGTGGTGCTGGAAAGACCCTGAGTTGTGAGTTACCATGTACTTGGTAATTCTAGTTATAATTCTGGTTTTACGTAAAATCCCCTGACGACAGTATTATGTAACCTCCTTGCTCTCACATAACTCACTTAGAAGCAGAGTCTGAATAAATAAATAATTTTTTTCTGACCCGAGTCCGAATAGATAAAAAATCTAATCGGATTTGAGTCTGAATAGAGCTGGCTTTTACGATTACGACAGTAGTCTCCGCCTAAGGTCCCATCGCTTACAATCCCGGTTCGTTTAAGATCCTGGTGTTTTAAGAAAACAGAATTTTTACCACAGATACAAAAGTCACCCCTAAGATCTCACTTTGATTCACTCAGAAGGTCTATATTCGGCTTGGATCCCACTTTTCTGATCATAATTTACGGAATTAGAACCTGGACCAGCACAGCCGATCAACCGAGAGGGAGAAGTTGAGATCAATGAACTGCCCATCGAGTCAAAGATTTGCCACTCTCGTGAACGTGATCACAGCCTCCAGTCCCCCCCCCCCGCAGAATATTCCTTACTTTTCAGCTTCAGCTGGTGGAAGCACTGAAACAAGACTTGTAAGATTGGACCATCAGATTTCACTGATAACTATCGTTTTCTGTAATTTTCTATTTTTTAACTGTCATTTTAGAAGCCTGCCAAAAAATCCACCAGAAATGTCCTCAAGTGCTTTATTTCTGGACCTATCCACTACGCTGAGTGACAATTGGGTTGAGTGGCAGTGGCACTTCTGGAGGAAGTTTTGTGTATAGCTAAACAATCATGGTGTCCCCCTATGAGATTGACTGTAATCACACAGGATGGGATATATATCATAGTAAATAAAAGTAAGAAAATAAAGCATCCTTTAGGTTTGAGACATGAGTGAGTAAATTCAGTTTGAAGTAGGCTGATAGGCTACATTTTCTTAATTTTGAGTTCTTTTCCTTTCATCTCATGCATTCATACCTCTTTACATTTTAATATTGATATTGCTGTACAAAACATGCCTGTGCCGTTTTTCACATTTCAATCATTCTGTTCACATGTCGGCCTACTTTGTACCATGGAGTGATCTAGTTAAAAAAACGGCGTCTGTGGTGTAGTGGTTAGGGGCTTTGTTGGCACTTGCAGAAGATGAGAGTTTGATTTCCTTGTGAGGAGGATTTTTTAAACAAAGTGGCTAGCCGTACTTAGATCTAGGTTTGGCCCTATCGACTCAAGCCTGTTTTAGTACACAGTTCTCATTAGATCTAGATCTAGCAATTATTCAGGTTCAAATACATGTATGGCACCTGTCTGAAATACAAATACTTTAGGCATTGCAAACTAAAAATTTCATTTACAATTCAGCCATCAATATTAAGTACGGCTAGCCTGACAGTCTAGCCGTCTTTAAGTACGGCTAGCCTGGCAGTCTACCCGTACTTAAGTACGGCTAGGCTCCTCCTTTTTTAGATGAGCATTAATGCCTTGCGCTATGAAGCAGACGTGAAATGTACATATATATATATATATGTATAATGTATTTGAACAAAATTGTATTACATGTTTTGTTTTTTGTTATGGCAATCTCCAGGTACAAGGCTCAGCCTGCAGGTAGCCCGGCTGATGACCCAACACCTGACTACATGAATCTCTTGGGGATGATCTTTAGTATGTGTGGGCTAATGATGAAGGTATGTCTTGTCTGGTCTTCCGTGTTTTTCTTGTTCTTCCACATCATGCTTACGTATAACTTGTAGAAATTACATTCTTCAACCTGTGGTGAAGGGATTTTTACCAGCAGGCTCATTGACTTGTAGACGTATGCACAATGTCCATGGTTTTTCCGAAACATACTGTTTCTCTTTATTATGCAAGAGATTCATGTTTCAGGGGAGAGATGGATTTTGAATTTTCAGTGGCAGTGATCCAAACCAAATCTGTTTCTCGTATATGACTTTCAACTTGAAAATAAAATCTATAATGTTTGTAGTTTGTATATCTTACACATAGTTGCCAATTGATATGGGAAAAATGTGTTTAATACTTATGTTAAGGTCTGAGTACGGAAGTCTGATTTTGTAATAGAAAATGTGCATTCTTCGTTTTGTAGCATTGCTCTTCTTGGACTTACTAATGCTTCAGAAAATTATGAACTTGAGAACGAGGTTTGCAGATTATAATGAGAAGGAAGCCCATTAGTCAGTTGTCTTCGGTTGAAGGTTTACTTTGATATAACTTTGAATTTATTAAATGCAAAAAAATGTGTGTGAAGGGTTTGGAGGGGGATTTCTTAGCTAATGCCAACTATCTTAACCTGCCGCATTGGAAGAAGGTTTTTAAATTTTGAAAAGTTGGCAGCTAAGCTTACAGATTAATAATTTTTTTTTGGTCAATACCAAAAAGGACAGTGCGAAATGCGTTCTTCTTTAGGGTTAGGAAAAAGAAAACCACTCAGTTTGTTTTCAAGTTTAAAGCCTATTGTGGCAAAAGGAAGGACAGAGCTAATTTTGATCAAATGCCATTTTGATTTTCATTCTCCATGTTTAGCTGATTAAGTCATCATGCTCATTCGATAACTGCCTGGGTCGTTTTTGGGGCCAACTGAGCTATGGCCTCATCTGGATAATTTGATTATTCCCGAGATTTCTGTGAAGGCCCTTTGGAGAATTTATCATTTTAATACAAAAAAACAAAAAACAGGTTTTTTTTCTTAAAACGCAAAAAAATTACTTGGACAAATATCAAATGAGCGTGATGAGGTGTGATAGCCTTGCTTCAAACAAATTGCTTTTAGTTTTATAACTTGAATGATTTGTGGCTGGAGTAGATCATCAAGGTTAGTTCTCCATACTTGCCAAGGGGAGTTTTTGTAGAAGTGCCTTTCACCCTTATTTAAATAGAGCGTTCAAGATCGCTTCAGCAACTGCTAAATTCAAATGTTTTTTTCACCAACAAGTCATTTCCCTGTTTTGCCCATTCTGATTGTATATTGTGACGAGCAGCAAGTAACAGAGAAACACTTACACTCCACTGCTAGAGGCGTAAAGCAAACTTACAAGGTCGAGTAGTGCCTCTATTTTTTCCCCCCCATTAAATTGCCTCTTGTCTCAGAGATTAAATACAAATAGAGTACAGTCAATTCTTGAAGAAGGTTCGTGTTATGGAATATTTTTTTCAGCAGCTTAGGAGTATTTTATTTCATTTATACTACTTCATTTATTACTGGAAGAACTGTATTTGCACACATGACAGCCCCCAACTCTAAAGATGCAATAAATTCCCTGAGTAAAAGAGAACAAGTCACGATATTTCGCCTGCGAACACAATACATACCACTAAATTCCTACCTTAAAAGGATCCGCAAGGATTCCCCACCCGACTGCCCGTTGTGCGACTGCCAGGATGAAACAGTACCACATCACCTCTTTAACTGCCCAGCACTTTGTGATCTGCGTAGCACCTACCTACCTGCCTCCCCAGACATCGGAAACACTCTATACAGCGACAAAGCACAGCTGATTAAAACCTGTCAATTCTTTGCCATATCGACAGACCGAAGGGCTAGAACCCAAATGGCCGCTGGATCGGAAAAGTTAAAGTAAAGTAAAGTATACTAGAGATATGAAAATAACTTTCAATAGAATATTGTATTAAAAGTGCCGTAAAACATTGATTACTTCATCAATAATTTTTTTCAAACCATTAAAAAAAAAGTTTTGATCACCAGGTGATATTCTAATGTATGTTCTTTGACTAGACACTGCTCTTATCATTCCTCAAATCGTATGTGTGTTTCACATTTTCTTCACTGAACAGCTCAAATGGTGCGCATGGGTAGCTGTCTACTGTTCCTTCATCAGTTTTGCAAACTCAAGGACCTCAGATGATACCAAACAGATGCTGAGCAGTTTCATGTGAGTTTTGTATTTTTTCCCCCTGCCATGCATTCCTTGTTACCTTCAATAAATGATGAGTGTGTTATGACATGTTGAAGTATGTACATAGGGTTCAGTTTCATGCGATTGTGTAAAGTCATTTAAGTGATTTTGCCTTACCAGAGTTCATAAAAGTTATTAGAAGTGGGTTTTTATTTTGCTGCTTATAAGTCTGACTAGTTGCCAGGTTTATTATTCATATTCCTGATTGCGTTGTATGAATTCAGTAAAAAAATATCCTTCATAAACCCTTCTGTATAAAAATACTAAAAGAATTTTTGCATTACTGCATTGTTTTCTCTTAACTGCCTGTAAGTGATGAATTGTTATTTAATGTACCTGTGATTTTATTGAGTCTGTATGCTTTTTTTCTTCTGCTCTATGCTGGAAGTTCTCCGAGTTAATGGAATATATATATATATATATATATATATATATATATATATGTCTTCTTTTTAAATCTGATCTCGGCTTTGTTGAAATGGATTGGGATGTGATTCTGAATTGAGTCTCTGATTCTTCAGTTAAAGTTAAAGCTTAGAAAGGCTGTTGGTTGAAGAGCACTTTGGTAACCTATGTTTTATTGACCAAGCTGTCTCTGCAAGTGCCAACCAATTAAAAGAGAATCTATAATTTAAAAAGAATTATTTCTATTTTCGGAAAAATCATATTGCTATATAAATGCAATTCTTTTTCTTCTTCCTTCCCCTCCTTCTTCTGTTGAAGAATAACCAAAATGAATTTTTTAAAACCTGTTAATGCAGCTTTTGCTGTTGTTTGTCTTTGTCACCTTTAGGTTGTCTATATCAGCTGTGGTGATGTCCTATCTACAAAATCCCCAACCCATGCAACCCCCATGGTGATGAGATGGTCAGGAAATAAGGCTGAATGTGCAACTGGGAGAGGAGTGTCTAGTGATGGAAAAGGTGCTGCAGCTGGACAGAATTCACAGGAGTTTTGTGACGGACACTTACATTGGATGGATGACATATTCCTGGATGACATTTTCATGGATGACATTTTCATGGATTTTTGTTCTTTGTTTTTTTGTGTTTGTTTTTGTTGTTTCTTTTGTCAGATGTCCTGTGATTCATTGATTCATTTTTCATACTCTAGTGCAAAAAAAGTAATGCATACCAGAATATATTTTAAACGGATGTTTATTTATCAAGACTAAATAACTTTTAAAATGTTTTCTCTATGATGTTCAGGTTGTTGTTGTGGGTTTTTTTGTCTTTGAAAAAAGATTAGGGTCTATTTGTCTAATGTGACCAGAACTGAAAATGCTTAGAACAAAAAAATTGATTGTGTCTTGAAATTGAAGTACCTGTTCAATTAATGACTCTTATACAAGGGCAATTTTTCTTTAACGAAAAAAAATGCCCCCCCCCCCCCCCCATTGAAATGTCAGTGTCCTCCAGGTAGAGAAAAAAGTGTACTAGATTTCATGCTATGTGTGAACTTGTTGTTTTGTCCTTTTCCATGTTTTGAGATTTTAATAAAAAGGAAGGACCATATTTACTTCAGCTCAGCAACTGTTGTTTTCACTATCGATATTAAGGGAAGAGATGGTGTTATTATTTTCTGCACATCTAACTGCTCAATCGTGAAATTTGAAACACTTAGTAAGAACTACAGCCCTGGTGCACTGTAAAATAGTGCCGAGGAGTTGATATGATTTTTTCAAGTGCACTAGTTTTTGGGCTCCAAATTTCCTTAATTTGAGGCATTTAGGTTTTTATGCTTACTGAATTCATTGATAAGTAAAGATTCATCTCATACTTCTTCTTCTTCTTCCTCGTTCTCGATGACAGCAGCTAGACAGTCAGTCCGATGTCGCGTACAAACTGTGTAGTTCGCTTCAACTCATCTCATACTGATCTGCAGGAAGTTGACAAAGAGTCGTGCTGAGAATTCTGGGTCCTTGGCCTGAAAAGCTGCATGAAGTCTTACTACACCTAGATGCCTCTTTTTTTTTTTTTCGTTGCATGTGCAACCCTGAGTATTTTTTATTTTCCGTAGTGTCTATGAAGTGCTTGTCTAATCTTATTTTAATAAAGAACTGACAATATGGACTGTGCAGTGTGAGCTGCACTTGCTGGAGTCCTGTCGCCGACCTACTTGTCGACAAATCTACACCCAGTGCCTGTAATTGTAATTAAGTTTTTAGCCCCAGTAGAAAATTTAATTTGGTCGTTTGGGAAGGAGGCTAATAGCTATGATCCTGCCTGTGTTAAGAGCTAGTCCAGACTGAACGTTAAACATCTCTGTAGAAAGACGGGAGAGGTGAAATAAAAAATTCCCCACTCAGGAATTGAATTCACATCTTTTGTGTATGATGGCGAAGCATCACTAAAATAAAGATGCTGGTTGTACTTGTAGTCTGTGTAGTGTGAGCCACACACGAGTCCTTTGGCTAACCTATGTGTCTACTGATATGCCCCTTATGCCTGAAATTTCAAATGTTTTAAGCCCTCATCAACACAATTTAATCGTTTAATAGGGGGTGGGCTGCTTTGAATCTGCATGTACGGCCAAAGGGCTCAGTAGGATACAAAATCCCTGTAGACAAATGGAGATACTGGATGAAAAACTTCACCTCTCAGGAATCAAATCCATATGTGAGGCAGCGTGGTGGAATCAGGCTCTTGTCAAAATAATGAAAGTAAAGAAACTTGCGTTTGATTTTTCCACAGGTTTGTGAATTTTTATCAAATTTTTGTTTTTTGGCTCAACTCCTTTAATGCCCATTAAAGAACTCATTTCAGTGTGGATTTTTCTGAAAAGAATTGATAAAAGGCAAAAAAAAAGTAAATTTTCAGTTACCATGGATTCTTAAGCTAAGGCAATAACTAATATTTGGTGACCATTTTCTCACTAATTTTTATTCTGAAAACAGGTGAACCCCACCTCTTTCTTTCGCAAATATCTCGACTTGTTTTCAAGATAAAATTATATTTTTTTCATCCAAATAACAATAAGTGAATAAGCTTTCAGATGAAAGCAATAACTCTACTTGCCCAAAAATTGACGAGAGCCTGATTCCACCACGCTGGCTCACATATCTTCTGAGCCAAAGCTAACCCCTGCACCACTGGCACCATCTGTAAGCCTATACCTTGTGGTGGTGGTACACTATACTTTCAGAAGGTCCAATGTTGTGACATGTGGCAGAAGCTGAGAATCCTGTTATGGTGAAGCTGCTATCTGCTGGCACTTATTCATACTGCAACAGCTTGCCACATAAAGGTATGGCCAGCTTTAGAAAGCTGCTCTAGCACTAGCAGATTTCATCTTTCCCTTTTTAAAAAGTTCATTATAATGTCAAAGGTGAACAACATTGTTTAGCAAGCTCCAACTATGTGAGACTGAGAGCTAAAACTACAAATCTATGGAGATCAAAATGATCAACAGGAATATCATTTTTGAAGATGGGGAGCTGGGCCTTCCTGGCAATACATACTTCTGAGAGGAAAAGTATTTCAGGATGGGATTTTATCTGTCCCCGTGGTTTTATGCACCCCGCATAATTGAGCAAAATTTGATCATTTTTTGCATAATTTCTGATTATTTTCCTTCCTTGTTCTTTGTTAAAATTAACAGAATCGCATAATTTCACATTTTTGGGCTCAGTTTGCATAATTTCTTTCTTTTTTTTTGTGTGCATAAAACCACGGTGACAGTTTTATACCTCCGTGAAGTTGTTCAATTCTTACCCTACATGTTGGCTTGTACATGACAGCATTCCCAACCTTTTGCTTATTGAGTGAGAGTGAGTAGGCCTACCTGATCCTCATTTCTTCAGTGGTTTGTGCTGTTGCTGCATAAAACACAAAAAGTCACTATTTACAAAGTTTCTAGGTTCAGCCATGGGGCAGTGCAGTGTCTTTAAATAATGATAAAAAAAGAAAATCCCGCCATCCAAACAAGATTGATGTTTTTTAAAAGAATTTATGGTAAGAGTTATGGCACTTGCCACACAATTCGGTCATATAAGTTCCAAAGATTAGAGGTATCACAAGAGTCACAAACACGCATTAGATTTTGATAGGAAAGGAGCAGACTTAACATCAGAGCACCCGCCAACCATCCACTAAACTACACTGAAGAGTATCTTGCACCAAAAGTTGCCCACTCTGACCTTCCTGCAAGAGAGATTGACCCGTAATTTTTTTTGGGGGTAAGTGTTATATACGGCGCTTGCATCTGCATACGGTCATATATATATATATATGAGCTTGCGGGACACAACAATAAGCATTTTCAGTTTGGAAGGAATTAATTTTGAAGGTTGCGAGGGTGGCCGCCGAAATCTACTCATATAAATTTTAGTAGGACTACCGGCAAGGGATCTTTAACGTGCACAACTTTTGAGATTTTTTTGCCCATATCTGAGAAAGCTAGGTGTTAGATCTAACCTACCCTCAGATCAGGGGTGTGGCTGAAAGTGAAAGACAGCAGTAAGAAAGAGCCAGTTAGTAGCAGTAGAAAGGCTGCAGAAAAAATCAGGAGCCCAAAAGAGGGGGGGGGGGGGGAGGGCAGCAAGTGGAGATGAAAGCAGACAGTAGGACAGAAAAGGAGGTGAAAGGATACATTTTGTAAAGAATAACATTTTCTGTCACTGTCAGGTTTTGAAACCAGCACCTATTGAATGAGAAGCGAACACCGTACCTCTTGACCGTGAGAGTCCCCAACCTTACTGAGCTTGACAAGAAAATCACCTGTAAAGGAACACCACAGAAAAAAATAATAAATGTGGCAAACCCTTTTAATTGAAACAAATTACCTGTATTACCTGTCCTGGGCAACAACGTCATTGCACACCGGACAGGTCCATAAGTGCTCAGTTCCCCCCAGCACCAAAGCCCGCAATTGAAACAAATGAAAACTCAGACCAACATTGAATGGGTGAAAGACTTTACTTTGATTAATACTTATACCATGGCACAAATTTACATTTGCATGAGGGTGAATTGTTCTACTGAGTGGTCTAGACAGAATGGAAAATGAGCTGAGAAGAGAGAGAAGAAACAAAGAGAGTTCCAGAAGATAAAAAAAGAAAAAGAAATCAGATAATAAATACAACTGACATTAGACAATAGCAAGGTTTGTGCCATAAGCAAAATCTCACACAGCATTTCAGAAGAAAGAATTTGGCATGGGGCAATGGGAAAAGCACAACATTGAAAGTCGAAAATCATGATGCCTGCAAGGTTTGGAACCACAGCACATGTATAGCTAAACAAATATATGTATAGCTTTTAAATTATGAGTACGGTAGGGGATTTCAAAAAGCTTTTACTTTTACTTTTACAGTTGTTCTCTCTGTCCAGAAGCATGATGTGCAAAAGTTCTCTGCTCATATGATAGTGTTCATCTTACAACAGACCTCTGTTTCACACACACACACAACAAACATAAATATATAACTAGCAATCATGAATGAAAGTGAAAGGTCACTTCTAAATTTTATAAATGTATTCTTCACTCTGGAAAACAAGTCGAAATCTAAGACCGAATGAAGAAAAAATCTCTCAAACTCAAAGGGTTTCTAGCATGAAGTCATAAAGTAAAGGAATAACGATTAGTTTAAATTTAAACAGCTGTGCAGATAAGAGCTCAACCACCCACCCCCTGAAACAGTAAAAACAAATTGAGTATTCCCACCTCTGCTGATAACCATCTTGCTACTGTTGAATCATGACCCCCCCCCCCCCCAGTATTAGAGATAAATCTCTGACTGGTTGCAAGTATTAATGGGTGTCTATAAGAGCAGAAATTCTATTAATTCATCCACATGTTTGAATATGCAATTTTGTGCACTGTTCACTGATAAATCTGCTGAAAAAGAAAATGGTCTGCTGCCTTCAGCTTGTGAGGTGCTATGCCAATTTTTGTAAAAATAATAAAAGGATTTTTATTACCCCTTGCCCTTACATTTTCGTTCCCAAAGAGAGTCGAGAAGACCTTAAAAATTGAGTTTGAAACACAGACAAGTAAAAAAGAATGCACACTCTGAACCATTGCAGTTACAACCCAAGGGAATAAATTATTGTAATATATTTACGGGTCAACCAAGGGAAGTAACAGCCTGACCTTGAGCATGTCACAAGAGAAGAGAGAGTCCAACTTCCACCTCCCACAAACAGCACACTTGTACATCCTCAACAGCATCACGCTTTCAGACAGAGGGTTCAATTCCATAGCATGGTGTATTACTAACAACACAGCAAAGAATCAAGAAGAAAAACATTAGAAATATACACAGAGTTCCCACAAGGTTTTCGGAGCAAATAATCGGAACAGTCAACAACGCAGGTTTCTCCAGCATTGCTCATGGCAATAAAGAACACTCTACAACGTGCTTCCTCTTTTGTCACCTCAAAAGAAGGGCATGAAAAAGTTAATTAAAATTCCCTCAAGGGACAAATAATAGCTTCATTTGTCTCTAATGGCTTTGTCTCTTGCTCGGTATCTTAAGTTTTTTTCTGAATCCTCCCCCCGCTTTAAATCCTTCCCTTTACTTAAGTCTTAGAAAAAAAAGTAGACCTACATGATGTATTTACCAGACCAGGGCAGACAACAATGATACAAAAAAGGTTCACAATAAAAGCATGGAAATTGCTTGGTAAATAATCTCACTTAATTTGGAGCAACAGAACTACAAAACAGTACACGCATTTCCTTTTCAATCCAATACAAAAGACCTCTGTAGACCCAGCAATCACAAGAATCACAGTAACAAAAAACATACATACGCGGACAGTCTATATTTTCATAATATCTAAGTTATGAAGACGGAGTCGGTGAAGAATTATTGCACTCTATAGGTAGTTAAAACAAAATCCAGACACTAATTTCTTCACCCCTACAGCCTCAAAGTTAAATATATTAGTGAATCGTGTCATGACAAACTCCCATCGCATGTAATGCATCCACACACTGAGGAAATTGGACGTAACAGCCGATATACTGGAATGTGTGCAACAACTACCACACAAACACAAGAGTCTATCTACTCTCGATATGCACTTGACTCTGGAATTGGGTTCATTTTAATTGCTATGAAGTCAGGTTCACTGGTAGTGGTTCCGTCAAAGTTACCTTTAGAAGGCTTATTGCATGTAGCGAGTTCAGCTTGCCATGATTCTCCAACATAATATTTGAATGCCATTCAAAATACAAGGGGTTGAAAAAAAGGGACCCACTTAATAAAGGGAAAAAACATGGTCATCTCTGAATTCCACCAAAATTTAGAACAAATAAAATAGAGCCAAGTTTGCAAATATGAAGAAAATCAATTAAAAACGTTTGAGAAATATCAAGTTTTAAAATTTTAAACCAAAATTGAGTAAAATGCCAAACTTTACTTCTTTGAAATATTCTACTGTCACAGATGTGTGATTTGCCCTTTCTTCTAGTCTGGACGAGGACAATAACAACAAGAAAGTCCAATCAAATGGACATCTCGCCATGCTGGAGAAAGTTGATGAGAAGTTTGGGGACGAGAAGGCGTTAAACTGTGGAGGAGACTTGGTTCCAATGAGACGGGGCCACACCCCAAACATCAAGAGTGGCCCTTGTATTTTTTGTTTTTTGTTTGTTTTTGTAAAGTGTTTTACGGCGCTTGCAACTGCATAAGGTCATATGAGCGCGCGAGACACACCTAATATTTTCAGTTGGTAGGAAATTTTGAATTTTGCCCGGGTGGCGGTCGAAGCCTACTCTTATCGATTTTACATCACCAAGGGATCTTTAACGTGCGCAATTTGCACCCGGCCCTTGTATGGTTGCTTGAAAAGTGTGAGGAACGCCTTACTAGCCAGAAGCTTACAAATGAATGGTGACCGCATTTCCCCTACTAGAACCCCTTTATTCTTTTCTTAGGGTCATTTTGAAAGAGTCTACAGACATAACCAACAAATAATTGTGAGGCATTGTGGTGAAATCAGGCGATTGTCAAAATAATGAAATCAAAGAAATCGTCACTTTTTGGGCCGATAGGCAATTTATTTCGTACGTTCTATTTTTTGCTCAACACCTTTTATGTCCATTTAAAAACGCATTTTTGTGTGGATTTTTACTTACAAACATTAATTAAAGGCATAAAAAATGTAAATTTTCAGTTTCTAAAGACTTTCAGGGAATGGAAATTACTTAACTTTGGCGGCCGTTTTCTCGCTAATTTTTACCTCTGAAACCATGCGACCCCCATCTTCTTCAAACGCAAATATCTCAACTTATTTTCACCATAAATGAGTATTTTTTTCACCGAAAGCAAGACAAATGAACAAGCTTTAAGATGATACCAATAACTCCACATGTCCAAAATCTGACGAGCGCTGATTCCACCGCGCCGTGACTCAGTTGAACAGTTAGAACTCAGTGCTGAGCAGGAGGTACAGAGAATCGATCCAGAAACATGCCACAGAGTCATCCAAAATGTTCAAAGGCGTACCCGACTTGTACGGAGAGATATGGTCAATGCCTGGAGCATACAATTTTAATAGCCACAACTTTCCCAGAGTTTATTTGACAATATCAGTTTTGTATAAATGTTTTTTTGATTGTACAAATAGTGACTGAAATAGAACAAAACGGTTGATTTTTAAGATGGGGCAAAGCTTTGGGTTTCACTTCATTTTGGTTGAAATTGTAAGAACTTGATATTCTGTAACAACTTAATTTTTCTTAATGTTAACAAATACGGTATCCCCGGGCTGAATTTTATGTGTTTGGGGTTTTGTTAAAATTGGCCTAAAGGTGACAAAGTTATAGCCCTTTAAACAGGTCCATTTTCTTTTTTTTTTTAGACACCCGGTACATCGTAATAACCTCTATGAGAGATTGGATGTAATTTCAAACTTAATGTTTTCCTTCTTTAATTCTTCAAATCTGATTTACATAGTCAAAATGGAAGGGAGGATCCATACAATTTGGACACATTTTCATTGACAAGTAGCAGAACTATTCAAACTTTCCTACGCAAAATGCCATCTACTACAAACACTTGGGCATGCTGAGCATATATCAGCTCCCTCAGCATTTTATATAATCCCTGCCCCTCCCCAACTATAAATGTAGGTACCAGAAACTAAATTTTCAAAGTAGCTGTATGCCAAATTTATCTGTTCCATTTGAAAGGCCTATATCCACTGAGCATTTTGGTACCATTCTTTAACCTCTCAGTCAATTTTTAAGAAAATTGTAGTTGTTTAAAATTTGATCAAATTTGTTAAAGTCAGTCACTGGCTGCAACCCCATGTTTGACAGACAATAAAAAAAGTACCAAGTGCACTAAACATCTCCACATTAACAGAGTACAATCACTATAACAAATATATGGAGCCTAATTTTTTTCAAGACTGTGAGATCTTTACAAATCAGTATTTTATCGCCTCAAACACGATGATCTGTCGTTATTTCGACAAAAACACCGAGCATTGACCCGGCGGCCCCGCACCGGTCCCCGCGGCGAGCGAGTCGGCTCTATACTGTAGTGTACCCCACGTGCCGGGTCACATGTTTTCCGAGTCTCGCGGAAGGATTGATGAAAAATAATTCCAAGTTAATAACTTTATTCTAATAGAAAATGAACTGATCTTTTAATTGACACCTGTTATAAGTCGGTATTATACATATTTTGTGTAAAAAGGGATCTTTAAACATTTTGACGGTATTTTTAAAAGCTTTCTATAAAGACGCCAAAGGCTAAACTTATATCACGGGAAAGCCCGTTTAAAGCTCTACAATTCTCCGCCAATGAAAAGACGGTATTTAATCATCCCTCGTTCCGCGAAGCATTTGAATGCACTCGTGTCAATTTTCCAACCGGCCGACCTCGCATTCCGACCGCGAGGGGCTTCGCTTTCGTCGGCGATTCTGCAGCTCCTAATAATCGGACATATAAACAACTTACACCATTGTAACGAGGAAAAGCTGTTCTTTTACAAGGTGTACGGCATTTGGTGTTTTATAGCGAAAGAGCAAAGAAACAGCGATCGGAATTACCCCGATTTTACCGATACCACGCGGTCGGAAGGCCGCGAGTGCCCGCGAGGCCGTGTTTACGCTACCTAATAAATGCCTTCCCTGAAGGGGTCTTTAAAAATGCAACACAGTCATGGGGTCATGGGGTCATGGGGTCATGGGGTCATTGACTTTTGTTCGAAACATAATAAATGTAAAAGTAAAAAGTATAAAACGATATCATTATCATGTGTTCTTACAATATTATATAGTTATTCTTCGCCACATTTCAAAATGTTACTTATAATGGAAACATTAGATAAACACACAACAACAAAAAAAGGAAAAGAACCCTATTAAAATGATGGCACGTGTAACAGAAAATTGAGCCACGTGTCCATTTCCCTTTCCTCTTCTCTCTAGATAATGCACATCGCTCGGTCTCATTTTTATGGAAAGTCAAGAGGGCTCATCAACCCAGAGGAAAAGAGTTTGTCTTTCAAGTTAAAAATAGCTTGTTTTCTTCCCATTTCCTGTATGCATTAGTGCTGGGCGGCTAGGATCTCGACTATTGAAAGCTAGGAATCGTAGGAATCGACTCCGAACCCAATTACTTACTTTCTAATGATGTGATTTCTTCCGATGGTTACCAGGTTGGCACCGAACATCTTCAGGATTAAGGATAACCTTGATTTCAGAACACTACGAAGTATCAACTTTAATTTTTCAAAAATAAATTCTAAAAAAAAAAAAGAGAATTTTTTAAAGGATTACAGTAACTGGTAACCGTTGGTTTATGTAAAAAGGAGTCGGAACTTTTCTTCCGTATCGTTAATCGTAGGAATCGGTTCCGGAATTGATTCCTCGCCCAGCTCTAGTATGCATGGTTGGTGGACAACAATGCCTTTTTCTGGAGGTTTTTCACACCCTTGAGAATCCAGGGCAGAAAAGACCAGGTACTCAAAGTCTTCTTGGACTCAACACAAAACACTTATGAATGAGTTCCCATGAGCACATTTAAAACATCCTGGCTGAGGAAACTTTAAAAAGAGTGGGCATGTCCACACCAGCTGTGTTTGGCAAAATGCTACATCAACCCTTACACAGAACTGATGAAACTGTTCTAAAATCATTAAGAGGAGGTTAAAACTAAAAGCGAAAAAAAAAAAAGCATGTTATAATTTATAACCCGTAGAAAGGAAAGGGACGCCACACCCTAGCAGGAAAATAGGCCACGAATGTAAAAATCAAACGCACTGTGAGTTAAGGAACCTACAGCCCACCAATCAACTTTGAGATCTATAGGGGGAACGTAGATGAAAACAGAACATAAAACAAAATTCGTTAAAACCGGAAGTCTCGCTGTCATTTCAAGTAAACAACAATTAAACAATAAACTAAAAAAAAGAAGCTAAAGACGATTGCATAGCACCCCACCACATTCTAATCTACAATGCATAACGTCCATGAGCAATAATTCCAAGGAAAATTAGTATCCAACCAAAAACAATATAAAATAAATGTGGTCATCTCGCAACACTGGACGTGGAAGAACTTTGTGTCAAACGATGAAAGATAAAAGATAAGCATAAAACTGATCCATGTCTTCAAGAAGTGGTATTGGCTTTTGCTGCTGTGTATTATTTGCTTGAAGAGTTTTCACCAAGGACGACATTGTACGCAACCACATTGCCTATCTCAGAATGCCAATAGAACTCAATTCAAAATTTGTGAAAGTGTTAGCGCTGAATCACATGGTTTGTCTACAATGAACATTTCACACAAGTAAGTTAAAGAATAAATTAACAAATGCCAACAGTTGATTAAGTCATGGTAATCTTAGGGCATTTGAGGGAAAAAAAATCCACAACTCGGTCAGCAAATACAATGGACAAGGCAATTTACCAACTGTACAGGAATATATTGCTACTGGTAACACCAACTATAGGGAACGTTTCAGGGACAGTCAGGGATAACAACACGCATATATGCATATCAATGAGCGCACACGAACAGTTCTCTTGATATGTTGGCCTTGTGTTCGATGAGGTTTATTTCTACCCATAACAACAAGTTACCACAAATCGCTTCGACTTACAGGTAGACAAACGCGCTTGGGACCAGAGTGAAGGAAAGGTTTTGTCCTGTACCGCATCACAGTAGAAGCAGGCAGAAACAGTCGTCTGTCAATGCTGATACCGACTGTTGAGGTGCTCAGAAGAAAAAAAATATATATAGAATGCTTCTGTACTCATGAGACTTCAGTAGTTGGGGAAGATCCCGCTCCTTCTACATCAACATTTCAAAGTAATGTTAACATACGTACTGGGGACCAAGGTAATCTTCACAGATCTTCAGTAAACTAGGTATTGCAGACATCCCATTTCTGTGATATCCCTGCAACAAAGGCTTTGGCTCACATGAGGTCCTGCTCAGCTTCAACATTCAATCAAACAATAGAACATACGGTTTTTCTTTGACCGGATATGAGAGCAAACAATGTCCGCTCAGTGCAAACAATGTCCGCTCAGTGCAAACATATCACACTCTTCAATACGGTACTGAAATGGCATGAGAGAAATAATTATACTATTGAGAATTTCAATTCTTCAACTTGTCATCTGTAAAAAGTACTCTTACGGCCCTGAGAAAGCTGAGAATTTATGGATGCAAAAATAAGCGCCTTTCACAAGCTGCTATGTTAGCATTAATAAACCTGTGAAATAGCCGTAGTTTGCTACATTTTTGTGTCCGTTTCTTTTTCATTCTTAAAAGATTGGTGGACAATCGTTACGATCTAAACAAGTCTCTGTTAGCACCGACCAGCTCAGCCTCATTGCCTTCTCCATGTTCCCAACCACTGGCACTTTCACTACAACGTTCTTCTTCCAAACGATCAACAGTATTGTACACCTCGTCATCACTTGCAAACCTATTGTCCATCGTGACGTTATCAGAGAACCTCTGCTCAGCCAAATCTGCACTAGCGAATCGGTTATCCACGTCTTCTCCTGAGCCCAGCTCAAGGATTTCCTGCTCCTCCTCATCAACATTGACAGCAAACTCGTCCGCAACGACATCCCCATCTCCAGAGATGATGTAGTGTTCGTCGTAGTCCTCGAAATTGTCGTCGTAAAAGTTCTCACTGTCAGAATGACCCTCACGGTCTGAGTCACTATCTTCTTCGTTTTCCTCATTGTCACTGGGGACGTAGCCATTAGCAAACACCTGACCTAAACTCTCCCCGGAGCTGTTAGGAGTGAGAGATACCTCTGCACGGTTCTCAACTTGTTCTGGGATCCTCAGAGGCTGGTGGTGCCCTCTAGAAATGTACCTGTTGAAAGATTCATGTTCTCTGATCGATGACTCGGTGTCCGGTGAGTACAGGCCCACTGCCTCCCTTCTGGTGTTGGGGGCGTGGAGGTGGCCAGCAGATAAGCCCCCAATATCACAGTCTGGGACAGGAGAAGAACCTTCTGGAATAAGTCCAGTCGAGGCTCTCAGAGTATTCGCCTCCAGCAAACGTCCATAAAGGGCAGACCTAGGGTTGTTGTCCTGCTGCCCTTGAGAGGAAGGGCTAGCGGTGGAGGTTGGGGAGTCTGTCAGAGCAGCAGCATCAGATCTAGAGCCTCCACTTATGCGAGTCTGCGTCAGCTCATGGATCAGGTTGTCGAACCAGTAGACTAGACTCCTGCTGGCAGTCGCTCGTTGGTTGCTGTCTGCAGGTGAAGGTTCAGAGGGTAATGCAGAATCCTGAGGACCTGGCCGGCTGTTGATGGTTCTCAGATCGCCCAGCTGCTGAATAAGATTAGCCTGGTCGGGGGTAGGACCACCACGGCGGATGGCGTTGCTCCTCTCCAGGCGAGACCTCAAATAACTCGAGGAGTCTCGCGGAGAGTTGCGCTGCCAACGGGAATCACCTGCTGCCCCTCTGAGGCTGTCCGAAGCAGGAGATGGCAAATTCAGATATCCTACTGAACCCATATAAGAGCTGGGAAGCAGAGGGACGATATTGTAGGAAGGGGAGGGCAGAGCCGGTTCTGATGCAGATCCTCCGGCAGCTGTCGTAGCAGCTGGGGTGTCTCCTCCGCCTGTCGAAGAACTCCCACCACGCAGCGCTGCTTCTAACGACGTCTCGTCCTGACTCACGATGAGAATGTTGTTTACAGTGTCGTCATAGCTGTGCTCCATCTCGCAGGCCTCTGACCTCTCCTCCTCTTCATCAGGCTCCTTAGAGAAAAGAGAATGTTTCACATTGAGAAAAAAAAAAGAAAAGAAAAGAAAAAGAAGCATATCTCTATATATTATACTTTTGAAAGTTCGTCACTTTGGCCGCCTAAAACTTCCGAACCACTTAACTTTCGAATTATTATTTTTTTAAATAGTAGAGGGTTTTACGGCGCTTGCAAATGCATAAGGTCATATGAGCGCCAAGGGGTGGGTGTCAACAGAGAAGTCTTTATAGGGAATCAGACTTAGACTGCTCACCTCTCTAGCTTCAACAGCACAAGGTCTGCTTTGGCTATCAATGCACCCCAAAATAGCAGGTCACAAGAGAGTGACAAACATACAAAAGAAGTAGATGAAAATGACAATAGTCAGGATCAGGAAAGAAAAAACAGCAGTTCCCTGTTGTAGATCAGGCACAGTTATGAGCGTGACATGAGTCAGCCCATTTACAATTCTACTATGCTTGAACGAGAAATGTCCCCCCCTTTGGGAATGGCCTAAAGACACTTCAGTCAGTGGCACTGCCCCAGGGGTGACTTTCGAATTTGCCAAAATTAATGGCGGTTTAGCATCATTAAAAGGGTGCACAGTTTTATTGAGGAGCCTGAAGTCACTGTAGTTTACTTTTCAGTTTTTCATTAGTTTCGATTAGATCTAATCTTGGGAAAGTCTGTCTTCTAAGACGCCATTGTAAACAAGTGAGGCTTCCGTTCACATGGAGCGCCCACACTGATCCCACAATGAGTTGACGATCGATTCTTTCGAGTCCGTTCATCAAACGGGACACCCAGCTAGTAACAAAATAACTGCCATTTTCAGCTGGGAGAAAACACGGTAAATCTATGGAAACAACACCGGCTAGGCAAAGATTTGAACTTTTGTAAAATAAGCAAAAAACTTGGGGGGGGGGGGGGGGGGGGAGAGGGAGGCTTCTTCAATGTCTTAATTATTTTCCAGGGCGACTGCTAACCCGGCTTTTCAATTTTCCAGGGGGGGCTAATTCGTTTTCCAGGGGCATGTTACATAAAAATGACAGCGAATGCTCCATTTTTACACACACACGCACACACACACACACACATGTAGGTACATTATATCCAGTCAACAACATGTCAGGGTGGCACTGGGATACTGTGCGACTTATATATTTCAGTCTGTTTAGTTTTAAAAAGTGTTTTACGGCACTTGCAACACAATAAGGTCACATGAGTGCCTAAGATTAGAGGTGTTACCAGAAAGTAACAAACATAAAAAAGAAGGAGGGGAGATAAAGACGACAGATGTTCGATAGGAAAGAAGAAGTAAACCACACCAGAGCACCCGCCAACCACCCACTATTTCAGTCTGTTCTTACTTTTATCGATATTTTCCCCTCATCATATTCGCATATATAAACTATATAAATATGAATCTTGTTTTGAGTCTGAGAACCTGGCCTAGAACCAGAATATCCACTGTCAAGAACCAGCTAGGGTGTCAAGATTTATATAATAAACGTCAAAAACAAAAATTATTGCTCAAACTCAAAGTAGAGTAATAACTTAAATGGCTCAAATAGACCTATTTCAGGGCGAGAGGTGTAAAAACTGGGAGGGCAAGATGCAGTGACACTGAAAATCTGTGAATCTTGAACAGAAAGCTAAAGTATAGATATAAAATACATGTAATTTACTATCACAAAAAGGAGAGAGAGAGAGAGAGAGAGAGAGAGAGATCGAGAGAGAACGAGAGACAGAAAGAAAGAAAGAGAGAGAGAGAGAGAGAGAGAGAGAGAGAGAGAGAGAGAGAGATAGAGAAGAAAAAAGTGTGCACTTGATGAGGTCACACCTCTATTAAAAAAAACCCAAAAGACAATGAAACAAACATACTCTCATCCATCCAATGAAACACGAACCCTTTGGTTAAAAAACACAGCCTACAACAAGGTATGAGTATGATGACGGATCCCTATTCCACACAAGGCCTGCACCAAAGCACGCTTTGCAGGAAGCTCTAGATCAAGTAATAATAAAAAATCTGACTAAATACTAAAATTTGCTTCCAAGTTCAGTTTTTGTCATCAGATGCTGCCTTCAACCCCACCCCTTCCCCGACTGTATCTTTAAAAAAAATAAATTATCCCCCCATTCGGGAGCCCTATATTTCGCAGAGCTGAGACTTTGAAAGAACTTTGTGGATCCCAACAATTACCGCACCGTTACTCACAATCTGATGCGAACGCACCGGTTCACTGACCGGTCACGATGGCGAGCCTGACAAGACAAGGCGTTTATATAACTTTCTTTTCTTTATTTTTTTTTTCCCGCAAGTGACAGCACCGGACAAATTCTGATTTATTTTCATGGCCACACAGCATTTGTAAAGCACAACCTGCATGTTACAAATGTTGGGTTAATCAGACTGGTACCGGCAAATTTCTGGATGGTAATGAAAGCGAAAGTAGATCGAGCTTCCGTACCACACATAACTTCCGCTTGCCGCCATAGCCGCCTGTTCGCGTGAAACGTACTCTCAGACAGGGAAAAGTCAAATGAATATATCAAAATCACGACCGGCAAAAATGAACCCAGGGACATTATCCGACGCGGGGCGATTTACAGATTTCCTCACATTCCCGGGGCATTCTCGGGTCTCAGCGATTTTTTTTCAAAGTCCCAGGGGATTCCCGGGGCCCCTGTATTTAGCAATTCTTCTATTCCAGTACATTTCTGAATATTGCAGCAAAATTGTGAATATTCCTTGAGCATGCATGGAATGAGTAAACAACCCGTTAATATCCATATATTGAGAAACATTTCTAGCACTTACTGAGCTCTCTAAACCGACAAGTTGAAATCTCAATCACAGAAAAAGAAACAAAGTCAAACAAAATACAAAGGTTTGAAACATCAGGAATTTCTGAAAATACTCTCAAAAGGAATCCTTTTTTTTTTTACAACTAAAGCATTAGAAATTTCAGGAAATACCCATAAAAGGGACCCCTCTTTAAATCTGAAACATGCATTTCCAGAAACTCCTATGAGGGAACCTTCTTTAAATCAGAAACATAAAAAATACTCCTCTTAATATCATAATTGCATAAATGCAAAGTATTGCGCAGTCCAGAAACACTTCTAGCAGAGAGCCCTTGTTGCAACTGAAGAGCACAAAAGCCAAGTGTTGCGTCATTTTGTCACCTGGAATTGTTCATCATCCTCCACCCATTCTCCGAGTTCCATGGCGATCCGTCGATACCGAGACTCCCGCAGCACTCCTTTGGCCCGCAGCGTCTTCGGGTGGTCGGGGCCCATTATCTCCTCACTGAGTCGAGCCCACTTCTTGAAGTACTGGTAAGACCTCTTGTAGTCCTGTCATAGAGGCATAGGCAGAAAATTGACCAAAATCATGAAATCGACGTAACCAGTATTTTTCTTCCCCTTTTGGCAATTTTGATCAAATTTCAATTTTTCACTCAACACTCTTTACGTCCATTTAATAATACATCGTTCAATCAGTAATACCTCGACTTCTATTGAAAATAAATGGGTAAAGTTTTTTTTATTGAAAGCAAGATAAATGAAGAAGGTTTAAGATGATACCAATAACCCCACTTGCCCAAAAGTTGACGAGTGCCCGATTCCACTGCACCGTAACACATATGAATACGAAATTTGTTGTGGTGTAAAGAAAAGCATTTTGAGACAATAGCCGTCATTTAGAGCTGGGTAAAAAGCAAGACAGGCAGGAACAAAAGAGGGATAGTAAAGACGTAAATAATACCAACCAGTGTAGTTTACCCTCCAATCACACAAGTGGTGTAAGGGAATAAGCAAAAAGTGTTCAACTATTATGAAGGAATGAAAATGTTATCCTGCTAAAAGCTGTGCCATTCAGAATTTCACACAATATAAAGTACACATCAGCCTAAACAACAATTAGAACAAATTTGATTTTTACAAAACCCAATATCTGTATTCACAGATCTCGGTTTGATTAAGCGGTCATTACCAAAACGATGTTTGAAGCAGTGCTGGGACTTTTATCACATGAAATATCCTAGTTATCATTTTAAATCAAATGTTCTGCTACTTAACCTTGTTTCTACTGATTATAAGATATATATATATATATATATATATATATATATATATATATATATAGAGAGAGAGAGAGAGAGAGAGAGAGAGAGAGAGAGAGAGAGAGAGAGAGAGAGAGAGAGAGAGAGAGAGAGAGAGAGAGAGAAAGAGAGAGAGAGAGAATGAATAAAGTCTGAGAAATGAGAAAGAAACCAAAGCAACTGTATGGCACATGTGCTTACCTTGTTGTCCTCATAAACAATACCGATGTTAATGTACAGCCGTGAGGTGAGGATGTGAAGCTCTCCGTACATCTGCATACACAGCTCCATCGCCTGATTGTACAACTGAAACACACAACATGCAACAAAACATTATTATGGTAAAACATATCTTGCAACACCTCAAACTGTGAGCTCACTTCCAAATTACAACCGTAGCAACAATCGGAAGTCATCCTGAAATATTTCAAATTTTGAAAAACTATTGAAAGTTGTCTTAAAGCACTAAATTCATGTCCAAAAAAAAAAAAGAAAGGAAAAAATCGGATATGTCTCTAAAATGGCAGCTTGCACTGTGTGCTTCTCAGGAAATTGAACTTGTTTAAGAAAGCTATCAGGTCTGCTGGGGTAATAATATAGATTGCAAAGCACATTGAGCTTGCCATAGAGGGGGAATTGGCACTATACAAAAGCTATCTATTATTATATGTACATGTTTTATCTCTTAGATTAGAGCATGGGAATTCACCTATCAACTTAGCACTTGAAATCAACAAACTCAAACACAAGCACAACACACCGAGGCCTCGACAGGAACCTGAAAAATCCGACCTCCAGCTTGTTACCACATCAATTCAGGAAAACCTGGGGATTGGGAAAATGGCTCTACCAGAACTTCCCCCAATGTGTTCTTTGTGTGACTATGCATACGAGACAGTGGAACATTACCTTTTCCACTGTACAGCCCTAAATGACATCAGAGCTACCCTTCTCCCTCCGAGACCTAACTTCGACAACACACTCTACGGAACATTACAGCAACTGCAGCAAACCTGCACTTATCACTACATGGCATTAGACAGAAGGGCGAGAGCCCAGATGTTGCTGGATCGATAACAACAACAACAACAACAACATGAAAATGGCTCCAGGCCAGAAACATGCTAAAGTTACCTTCAGTTGTTCCATGCTGCCTCTTGGGGCCAGGACTCCCTTGGTCATCAATGCTTCAGCAAAATGGCCCATGTCATTGAGCTGTAAGGAGAAGCAAGGAAGGGTTTTTTTTTTTAAAGCTCAAGATTTGTCCTGGGTAGTTTATTTCTCAGCTCTAAAATATGTTTTCAGAATGAACAAATTCATCAAAGAAACTTCCAATCCCCCTTGCCTCCCCTCCCTTCCGCATGAAACTTAAAAAAATAACTCACCTCCATGAATATCTTAAGGGCACGGTCGATGTACTTGTTTCCCTCGACAACAGCGTCAGGACCAGAGAGCTCCGACCCGCCCCCGGAGGCCTCCCAGCTCTTCATGTTGAAGGCGAGACGCATGAGAGACATGCCCAGCTTGTACTGAACACCACCGGGAAAAAAAAGAACATTTGTGAGGCAGCGTGGTAAATCAGGCTCTCGTCAATTTTGGGGCATGTAGAGTTATTGGTATCATCTTAAAGCTTGTTCACTTGTATTTATTAGGATGAAAAAAATATCAATTTTTCTTGAATACAAGTCAAGATATTTGCGAAAGAAGGAGGTGGAGGTCACCGGTTTTCAGAGGTAAAATTAGTGAGAAAATGGCTGCCAAAGATTAGTTATTTTCTTAGCCTTAAGAGTCCGTGGTAACTGAAAATTTTAATTTTTTGTGCCTTTAATCAACGTTTTTCAGAAAAATCCACACGGAAATGAGTTCTTTAATGGGCATGAAAGATGTTGAGCCAAAAAACAAAAATTTGATAAAAATTCATTAACCGACAGAAAAATGCAAGTTTCTTCACTTTGATTATTTTGACGAGAGCCTGATGCCACCACGCTGCCTCACATATGACTTTTGAGAAAAGAGAAGGACATCAACAAAATAATGATCATTTAGTGCTGACTGACTGACTGATTGACTGACTGACTGATTGACTGACTGACTGATTGACTGACAGGCTAATAGGCAGACAGGCAGGCAGGCAAGCAAAAGAAGAAAAGGGAGAAGAATAAGGTGGACACTATGAAAAAAGTAAAAGAGTTAAAATCCCCATGTCGATTATCCACAAACGTTCAAGTCAGCAAGAAGAAGAAACTACCATCAAGTGATCCGGTGATTTTGAGTTACAAAGATAATACAGAACATAGTCAATGCAGCACTAATGGCCGCCTGTATGAGCCAATCACCGGCACAAACTGCCACTTCCCATTTCTTCCTTCTGTTTGTTTGGGTTTGTTTTTTTCCATTATAGTGATACTCTATGAGACAGCCATCTGTCTATTACGTTTCATTTTCTCTTCGACAAAGGGCGACTGTCTGGGACAATTTTGACCACACAGGAAAAAAAAAAGTCATCAGTGCTAGATAATGAAAACACTCTTCAAAATTACCAAGCGAACAAATCTGAGAAGAATTTCACAATAAAAATAAATACCTTGTGGTAGGGTCCAGGTAAGGTTTTTCTAATGTGGATTGATTTTTTGGCATAATGGATGGTTTTCCTCAAATCAGGCAACTGACTTCTTGAGACGAAGTCATTCAGCTTCAATTTCTGGAGAAAAACAAGGACCAAATAATTGAAACACAAAGATTTAAAAAAAAAAGACTTTGAGAACAAATTTTCTGGACATTAATTTTAAACAAAAACTCATTTTAACTTTGAGCACTTTTAAAAATTAAAAAATTGAATATCCCAACACATTTGAGGAAATATAACATCTCAGTTTGCATTTCCTCAAATGCCAGAGGTTGCATAGCCACTTATACTTCAGCACAATTGATTTGATGTTTGATAAATGAAAGACCTGTACAACAGAAGTTTTTTCATAAGCAACAACACAAACGCCTAATTTTAGGATTACTCATTTCAATATGCTACAATTTTTGCTTTAGACATAAACTTCTTAAATTTAAAAAATCACAATCATAGTTAATCCACAATTTAAAACCGAACTTCCTTTCATGAAAACAAAAATGTTTCCAGACTTTGACAATCGGTATTTCTCAGACAGACCTCATCGTAGATCTCTGACATTAGGGCGTAGAGTTCCACCATGCGATGAGGTCTTGCCCCAAGCTCTTTCTCCTCTATCTTCATTGCTGTTTTCAACAGTTCCAAGGCATCCTGATGCTTCCCAGCTTGAATTCTGTTTGTAAAAAACAAAAAAACAAAAACAATATCAATATTTACTTTTTTGTCAACCACAGTGGAAACTACTTAAAAATGCAAGAGTAAAACAGAGCTTTAAACTGGGTTTTTCTGCACTACTGACAGCATAAGGTCACACTAGTCCTGAGAAATTTCAGAGAAAAGTAAGGAGCTAGATTCTTTGTTGTCTGACATTCTGCAGCCACAGTAAAGGCAACAGGAGGAAGTCAATACAGTCCAAATTGTCCAACAACAGCCATTGATCAAGGAGGGCAGAGGTGTTTGTCTTACACAAGTGGACTCTTGGACAGTGGCGGTATAATACAGATAAAAATGTGAGAGGGAGATGAGGAAGGGGTCCTTTGCACAGGTGATTGTCTTGGACAGGTGGCCATTAGAGCAGGCTCGACTGTACTTCTTGACTCTCGAGAGAAAGGTTCTTCATCAACAAGTGTGATGCCTTGTGGCAAAAGCTAAAATTTGATAGAAACAATAAGGCCTCAAACTCTTCCTACACACCCAAACAAAAGAGGGAATGAAAAGGGACAGCAAAAAGGGAATGACAGAGATGCCAACCTCAGAAAACCGAAATGGGTATTGGGAAACATGAAAATGTGTATTTTCAGGGGTAAATGTGTATTCCCCACGACCGACCGACTAACCAGTAATAGTAAAATGTTCAGGGTGTCCAGCAATATTTCCTGAAAATAAATTACTAGCTCACCAGCTCGAAAAAGGGAGCACACACGCGTACAATATACATGTATCTAGTCAACAACATGTCAGTGTTAATGTCGTACTGGGGTCTTGTTTGACTTAACTATTTCAGTCTATTTTCCTCTCATTATTAAATAAAAAATAAATCCTGCTTTGAGAGTTTGGAAGGGCCTAGAACAAGAACTTCGACTATCAAGAACCAGTCTGGGTGTCATGATTCATATTATGAACTGACAGAAACAAATTATTGCTCAAACTCAGAGAAAAGCAATAACTTGAATGGCTGAAGTAGACCCATGCACGGTGAGAGTTGTAACAACTGTAGTAGGGCAAGATGCAGTGACACTGAAAATCTGCCAGTCTTGAACAGAAAGCTACAACATACACTGTAGGTATAATTTACTATCACCCATCCAATGAAAAGCGAACACTTTATTTCAATAACACAGACTTGCAAAAGTATGAGGGGTCCCGATTCCGCACACGGCCTGCACCAACGCGCGCTTTGCACAAAACTAATCAAAGTTCTGAAATGTGCTTCCAAGTTTTTGTCCTCTGGTGTTGCCTTAACCCCCCCCCCCCCCCATAGTATCTTAAACCCCCCCAAAAATCAATAATCTCCTCCTCTATGCCGTAGTCATATACTTCGCAGCGCCGTTACTCCCACCAAAGACGGTCTTTGCTCACCCGATGCCGTTATTTATGATGCGAACGCGCGCAGGTTCAGTGACCGGTCACGACGGCGAGCCAGACAATCTAAAAATCGGACGACGCTTGTATTTTCTTTTCTTTTTTTTCCCCACAAGTGACAGCACAGCGACGAGTCCGAGTATTTCTTACATTTAATTTGCATGGTGACATTGCGTTTATACTGCACAACCTGCATGCCACAAATGTTGCGTTATCAGACAAATGCTGGCAAACTTCTCCGTGGTAATGAAAGCGAAAGTAGATCTTGATTTTCCCGATCGAGCCTCGGTGTCACATACGCTTCCGCCTGCCGCCATAGCTGCCTATTCGCGTGAAAGTGAAACGTACTCTCCGGACGGGGAAAAGCTGAACGAATATACGATCGCCACCGGCAAAATTTAACTTACTGACCACATCGGACTTGGTTTTCAAATATTCCAGTTCTGCGATGCTGATACTATTTTGACAAAAGAAGGGACTTGAGATAATTAGGTTTACCCGCCCAAGCTGAATCTCGTATTTTTTCGCATTCCAGGATGCGTATTTTTTCATGAAAAGTCGTATTCGCGTATTTTCGGCCAAAAATCGTACTAAAATACGTAAAATCGTACTGGTTGGCATCTCTGTAATGAAAAGGGACAGCAAAGTGGCACTGCAAAATATTTTTGTGGGTGGCAGAAAATGCTGAAGTTAGTGCAAAAGTAGCTGATGGTCAAAAACACTCACGTGACCCGACAAACTTTCTCATATCTCAACGATACGGCTGCTTCATTTGCAGAGTCTGCCTCCTCAAAATTTTTCAGAGCTGCTTCATAACTTGAGATCATTTCTGAGATAGGGCCAATCTGCAAAGAGAAAGATAAGCTCAAATGAAATGAAGCAAAAATTTGTTTACTTGTAAGACTTGCATAACTAAAGTTCACTAAACTGCACACTGCCAAGCTGCAATTAATTATTGAAACATTTGAAGTTTCCGAACAAGTGGAATGAATAATTAACAAAAAGTAAATGCAACTGAACAGAATGCAGCACAATGATTACCTTTCTCCAGTAGGCCATCAGCTGAGAGCTGTACTCCTCCTGGTAAAGCCGGTCGAAAACTCTCCAGTCACAGAGACAATGTAAGAGGTGAAACTTGTCGTCCAGACATGCCAGATGGTGCGGGTACTCTTCCACCATTCGTGTCATGTCAGGGTGGAAGCGAAAAAAATCAGCCAACTTGGAGTGCCAAAAAAAGTAATTGCTGGACTTCTCTGTCTTTCCTGTACCGTTTTTGTCATCCTCAGAGGACACTGTCAAGTACCTGCAATTGTAAAATTATAATTGTGAATGATTTACGCCCCCATCAACACAATTTCGATCTATATAGGAGGCAGACAGTTTCAACCCTGAGAGGAATACAGTGTCCCAGCAGACAAATGGAGATTTTTTTAAAAAGCCAAGAACAGCTCTCAGACAATCTTTGTTCTCTAACTCCAGCCTGTTAAATTATGCTTGACATTCGCTTTGAGATCTTGTTTCCATGTGGATCTTAGCCTTCCTCTCTTCCTGCTCCTCTGGGAAAAAAAACCCACACCACGAAACAGTCCAGTCTCACCGTTTCTTCACAGCCTTGCTGAGAGCTCTGTGGTAGAAGTCCAGCCTTCCCTCTCGACTGTCCCCGTACGGTCTGACGAAAGGCTGCAGCGTCTGGAACACAAGCTGCCATCTCTCTTCACTCAGAACTCCTTTCTCCTTGTTGTTGTCCTTTTCTCTGCTTTCTGTCTCCTCTGTAACATAGACCCACATAAATCAAGCTGGTACAAATTCTACTGGAATTTTTAGAAACCTCTTCAGTGAGCATCCTTTGCAAAATATCAACACTTTAGCCAATGGTATTTTTGCTAGGGGCAAAAATATTCTCTATAAGCTTACATAACAAGGAAGATATGAGTGCCTACTTTCTGAAGCCAGATGTTCAAAGGAAAATGAAAACCACTCCGGAAATCTTATAGCAATGAAAAAGAAGACTCCTGCAGCAATAAGACAGTCAAAAGTACATTTACAACACACAGGAGAAATTTATGAGTATATTAATGCAACATACACAGAACCAGTGAAATGAAATAGGATCAACATAATGTGACACCCTCAGGACACCTTTTGGATGGGATTGTCTTTCCCTTATCTTTTATTGCATCTGTGACAAAGACACACAAATTACTCATGAAGAAATGAGACCAACGAATTAAAAGACTCGCAGTTGTAATAAAATTTGATCTGTGCTGAGTAATACAGTAAGATAACAAGACACGGTATTCATCTTGTCTCGTCTTGTTCAATCTTGTTTTACATAAGCGTTGAACCTAATCACTCAACACACACACAAACACACACACACACATACACACACAAACCATACCTTTTTCTTCAAAAGGAGAGGGTGGCTTGATGGCAGTATCATCTGCCAGTAACTGCCGCAATTCCGTCTCATTGAGCCCGGCTGCTGATGTTTCCAGCAGGCACAGAGTACCAACAAGCAGGTCTCCCTCTTTGCCTGTTTCCAGTCGGTGCAAAAGTTGGTCGAATAACCTGGTGACAGAACAGGTAGAGTTAAGACTGAACACCAGCATAATTTATAAATAACAATTTTAAAAGGAGCCCTGATACTGTCGAGACTGGAGACCTGCATACATTTAACACAATTTTGTAAAAATGAAACATTAGGAAAACTAGTATACATCTATAATCATAAAATAGCACACACACAAGAAGAAGAAGAAGAAGAAGAAGAAGAAGAAGAAGAAGAAGAAGAAGAAGAAGAAGAGGAAGAGGAAGAAGAAGAAGAAGAAGAAGAAGAAGAAGAAGAAGAAGAAGAAGAAGAAGAAGAAGAAGAAGAAGAAGAAGAAGAAGAAGAGGAAGAAGAAGAAGAAGAAGAAGAAGAGGAAGAGGAAGAAAAAGAAGAAGAGAAAAGAAGTACAAACACAAGATAAAATATTAGAGCAGAGATCTGTTTCTTTAAGCTAAATGAGCACCACACTTAACCCCTCTCTCTCATTCCATACCGTCAAACCCAAAAAGAAAGAATATGGAAACCATTTACTCAGTAATCGTAAATCTGTAAATGAAAGAATTCTAAATAAAAACAATGCTGAAAATGTTCCCATATACAGTTTGTTTTGTTTTTTTTAGTAGAGGTTTTACGGCGCTCGCAACTGCATAAGGTCATATGAGCGCCAGAAGATTAGAGGTGTTACAAGAGAGTAACAAACATAAAAAAGAAGGAGGGGAGATAAGGACGATAGATGTTTGATAGGAAAGAAGAAGCAAACCACACCAGAGCACCCGCCAACCACCCACATATAAAGTTTTGGCTAAATAAAATAAGACATACATAAAACACAGGCAAAAACACCAAATGGAATTAGGAACTGGAATTCAGACTTATATTAGTTTCATGCAGTTCTCATTTACCCTAGAAGAAATAAGACCAAAAAAACCCAAAACGAACAAAACCAATCGTGTTCTTGAGCAAAACAAAAAGGTATGCAGGTTTCACCGAGAAAACTGGTAGACTCACAACAGCAAACTATCAGGGAGCAGGTCAATCTTCTCGGTGACCGCCTCCTCTCCCTCCACCAGCCTCAGTTCCAGGCAGGCCAAGGTCAGCCAGAGAGGGTTCTCCGACGACGGTTTATCCAGCAGACTGTGCATCTGCCGTGTGGTCAGCGCCGAGTGCGTGTACTGAAGCAGAGTCTGCTCCACAATTCCCTAAGGAAATTTCCAAAGAAGAGAAAATGAGAGGAGGAACTCGTTAATTTTCTTCGAGTGCTCCATGAATGATCAAGTGGCTAGTTTTGTTTATTTGTTTGAACGAAGGGAAACACATCGACACAAGAACAGTCATTTAGGGCTAGGAAAATCAAGACAGGCTGAAATAAAAGAGATTCAAAAGAAGAAAGACTTACCAGTGAAGAAACTATCCGCTAACATGAGCAATGGAACTCATTCATTTTCTTCCAGTACTCAGAAAAGCGGGTGGCTTTGTTTTGTTTGAGTAAGGAGAAGCACATCCACACAATAATGGTCATTTAATGCAGGAAAAAAAAGCTAGATAAATAGAGAGAAACAAAAGAGGTAAGGAACAGAAGTTTGAGAAGTAGGCCTTACCAGAGGTACTCTCCATTCACCCAACAGTGCCCTTCCTCTGGGCTCCTAACTCTTTCTGCAGCCTTTCTACTGCTACTACTTGGCTCCTTCTTACTGTTATCTTTCAGCCACACCCCTGATCTTCAGATAGGAAAGATCTACACCTAGCCTTCTCGGACAAGGGCGAAAAATCTCGGACGACCACTGTGCAAGTTGCGCACGTTAAAGATCCCTTGGTGGTGTAAAATCGATAAGAGTAGGCTTCGGCCGCCACCCGGGCAAAATTCAAAATTTCCTACCAACTTAAAATATTTTATTAGGTGTGTCCCGCGCGCTCATATGACCTTACGCAGTTGCGAGCGCCGTAAAACACTTACCAAATCAAACAAACAAAACCTAACAGTGGCTTGTGAAGAAAGCAAAAACAATTTCAAGCCATGTCCATGACATGATTTTGATATGGGTGGTCATTGGGGGGGTTTTTTGTTTGTTTTTTTGTTATAAGTGTTTTACAGAGCTTGCAACTGCATAAGGTCATATGAGTGCGTGAGACACATTAAACATTTTCAGTTGGCAGGTCAATGGGTTAAATCCTCAAGCAAGACAATAATCCTTTCATCAAAGAAGGGCACAATGTGAAAAGCAATGGTGAGTCAAACCTGTCTAAGATGACCGGCCATTGTCAAGGGGAACAGAGGTGATCTTAGACAGGTGGTCCTCTTGGACAGGGTCATTATAATAATTTTTTAAAGTGCAAGGGAGGAAGTAGGAAGAAGTCATTTGTATAGGTGATTGTCTTGGAAAGGTGATCATTAGAACAGCTTCGACCATATTTTAAACAAACCTGCTTCGACGTGTTATCCAAAGGAGTGACCACAATCTCTAGCGGTTTGGTCTCTCTGCTCAGCAAGGCCTTGTGCACCTCAGAATCTGTAACCATGGCCACGACCAGTCGAACTTGTGGGGCCAACTTCCTGGGCACCCAACTGATTATCCTAGCTCCGTGCTCTTTGGTAAACTGAGGATGGGAAGTAATTTTTTGGGTGTTTAATCAAAAGAGCACACAATGGTTGTAAAACAATGGACTTCCCTATCTGACGCACTTTAGATTTTATAATAAACGGCTTCATCTCTTTATTCCTTGAGCTTGAGACAACGAGAAGCACATTCATAGGTATAATGGTCACTTAGAACCAGGAAAAAGCGAGATAGTAAAGAGAAGCCCATAAACACAGTAACGGTCATTCAGTTCTGAGGAAAAAGTAATACAGACAGACAGAAAACCAGTGCTTTACTCCATCCGCCCATGCAATTATTTTTTTTTTAAAAAGAGTAGATTTTAGAGAAAATGTAAGAAACAAAGTCTCACTTGATCAGCAGCATCTAGGAACAGAATTAGGGGTTCCGTGTTGAGGTTGGACAGCATACTGCAACACATCTGTGCTGCTGAGTCGAGATCTTTAGCGCAGTTGGAGGTCTGAGAAAGAAGACACAATATGGATGATATAATAGATGTATTACAGGGGAATTTTCAGAGAATGACACTTGGATTGTTACAATTACTTACTCTTTTAAAAACTGCTGTCCTGAACATAAATAATAAAACACGCTGGAGTAGTAAAGTGTTTCAAATATGATTTTTTTTTTTATGTTAAAAATTTTAAGTACATTGATGGTTACACAGTCTATCCACAAAGTTAATATATTTTTTAACTTTATGTCTTACAAACAACATCTCAATAACAAATACACAATAGTCTATTCAAATTGCTTCGGAAAAAATGGCTAGGTCTAACTCAAATATTTAAACAAATTCTACAACAGCCACCCTACATAACCAAAAAATAGAAAATTTGTTCACAAAATATGAACCTATCTCAACCATGAACTATAACAACAGATCCAAAGTCATTGTAATTTTTTGCTTTAGTAGAGGTTTTACGGCGCTCGCAACTGCATAAGGTCATATGAGCGCCAGAAGATTAGAGGTGATACAAGAGAGTAAAAAACATAAAAAAGAAGAAGGGGAGATAAGGACGATAGATGTTTGATAGGAAAGAAGAAGCAGACTACACCAGAGCACCCGCCAACCACCCGCTAGGTCATTGTAAGAACTAGAAAAGGTGCTGTGTAAACTAGACAAAAATAACAACAACCAAGTTGAAAGTACCTTTTTAGTCATGCCAGTTTCCCGTAACAACCGCTTCAGCATTTGCTCCAGTGAAGTTGAGCCCGGCACCGCTCCGACGAAATGGTAAAACACCCTCCACTTACCCTTCTTGTCTCTGAAAAAAAGCAAAAGCAGAATTACTTCAGCTGGGGAATGTAGGAACCAAGTATAAAAATAGGACTCCACAAAAAGCCAATGTTTCATATTCCTAAATTTCCAAGAGTCTGACGACTGAAAGTAAAATAATCAACGACTAAACTAAAAAAAAAAAAAGCAGTTTTAAAATTACTTTGCTGGATCAACATCTACAATTGATTTATAGATTAGATGCCAGATAAAGAGCAGAGGGAGGGAGGGAGAGAGAGAGGGGGAGAGAGAGAGAGAGAGAGAGAGAGAGAGAGAGAGAGAGAGAGAGAGAGAGATAGAGAACTTGATTACTTGATCTAGGGAACAACACCATAGCACTCCGGGCTTCGCCATTCGTGCTCCGCTCCCAGCTCCAATATCCACCTCAGAGTCTATTTGCTGATCATTCCGGTGTTCATTCGGTTAATAACTCGTCTTTCCATCCCCTGTACCATGCTGGTTCTGCCACTTCCTCTAAAGACACCCAGTTCTTTAAGTCGCAAGATTGGCGCATAGTCATGCTCAAGCTCCTCATCTTCAAGAGTGGTGGCAATGGCCTTCACGACATCCTTTTTGTCCATTTTAATGTCAGTATTGATAGGTGCATGGCTTGCCAGTATGTCTGCTTGTTCATTTCCCACCACATCCGTACGGCTTGGAGCATAGATCGTTATTTTTCCCGGTCTGGTTTCTTCTATGCCATGCAGCCACCCTTTTCTCAGCATGAGAGAGAGAGAGAGAGAGAGAGAGGGAGAGAGAGAGAGAGAGAGAGAGGGAGAGAGAGAGAGAGAGAGAGAGAGAGAGAGAGAGAGAGAGAGAGAGAGAGACAAGGAGTGATCAGAAAGCAATACGCATCCGTATCATAAAAAGTATGGCTGGTAATTGCTAGATATATTTTAAAAAAGGGTACAAATAAGAGTGTACTTTAAAAAATGCCAAAATCTGATACGAGAGTTTGAGATTCCCAATCCTCCAAAAGAGTAAAGTTATCAACTAAATAATGTAAGGTCTCCAGGCATCCTCGGCTGTGAGCAAAATATTGATATTCCTCAAAGGGGAAAAGGCATAACACTGACATGTAATAAAAACATGTCTAGAACACTTCTTACGTAGAGAAAAATCAACCATCTTTCAAAAAGTAAGTTACTTAGAGGATTTATTTGATGACAGTATCAACACAAGTTGATCATTCATCATCATCATCATCATCATCATCATCACATCCCCCTTTTTCTTGTTTTGTTGTTCTTGAAGCATAACAATGTGTACCATGTTGGCACATATATGTAACTTACAAATATGGGCAACAAAATCGGGACACATAATAATAATAATAAATAGCATTTATACTGCGCATTTCCATTTCCTAAAAGATGCTCAATGCGCATTACAATGAAAAAGACATCACATCTTAAAAATTGATCGACAGGTATGTACGTAAAACAAAGTATTATACATATAATATAAATGCATATGTGCATACAAAGGGAAAAAAACCAAAATAAAACCCCACAAGTTGATCTTCAAAGCTGCTAACCCAGACTTCCTCTCCTAGCATCTGCTATTGTTAATTAACAATTGAAAGGACAGACTGACATTAATAAAGATCTATTCATAAATATGATGGAAAAAAAAAGATCAGACATATTGACCGTCTTCTGGGAAGGAGGCACCCCTGTGCAGAAACAGACTTGTGAGCCAGTAAACATAGTTACCCTGGGGCACAGAGTTCTCCTCCTTCCACTTTGTTGAGCAGGGTGCGAGTGGCCAGACACATTGCTGAAGTTTTTCCTGAACCCGAAGCACCTAAAAGAATCAGTGGCACATCTCGCTCTTCTTTCATCACATAATTCTCCACCTGGGGAAAATACCAAACAAGCACGTTGGAAAATAATCTGGGGAAAATACAAAAAAAAGCACTTTGGAAAATAATCTGGGGAAAAATACCAAAAAAAGCACTTTGGAAAATAATCTGGGGAAAATACCAAAAAAAGCACTTTCCAAAACGATGTGGGGGGAAAACCCCCCCAAAAAGCACTTTTGAAAACAATCGAAGCCACGCTTCAAAATACAGGGTTACCCAAAACTTTCTCACACATCAGCGAAAATAAGAACACTTAGGAAAGAATCAAGTTATTCGGGGAACTTTATTGTTTTCACTTGACCCCAGATTTTGACCACAAGGTAGCACAACCTGACTTTCGAAAACCTGGGATAGAAGAATGCTATATGTTGGAAAACATGCCTCGAAAACAAAGAGCAACATTTGATTATCCAGAGGTGGTACAACATTCATGAACACTTTCTGCTCGGTATATCATTTACTTTGCTGTACTTTCTCTGTCCTCTTAAGCAAAAATATTATCTCAGCTGTCATGAATCCTTTTTATATTTAGAACATAAGCATATGGACGAAAACGAAATTGACTTTTCAAGGAGAAATACACCTTAAACAGACGCAAAAAAATTCTTGCTAAAATACTTAAACCAAGTAATGACTTTGGCAAGACAATAGATATAAAATACATGTTATGTATCGTGCCTTTTATATCTTAAGATACTCAAAGAATCTCATATTATTTAGAGTAACATGAATTTCCCTGCTGTCGACTCCCCAATCATCAAATGTGAAGTGACTGGATTCCAATAAAGATAGACAAAATGAATAACATAATAGAACAATTTATGACTGATTGTTCTTCTGACAGATGCGATCTGAAGAAGTAGAATATACAGAGTGGAGGGACAGATTGGAGTAATTGGAAACAATATGTGAGGTAGCGTGGTGGAATCAGGCTCTCGTCAAAATAATGAAATCGAAGAAAACAGCAGTTTTCTCCCTGCCTAGCACTTTTTATCAAATTTTTGTTTTTTGGCTGAACACCTTTTATGTCCATTTACAAACACATTCCTTTGAGGATTTCACCGAAATCGTTGATTAAAGGAACAAAAATATAAATTTACAGTTTCCATGGACTCTCCAGCTTTGGAATTTACCAGCTTTTGCGGCCATTTTCTCGCTAATTTTACCTCTTAAATCAGGTGACCCCCACCTGCTTCAATCCAAAATATCTCCACATCCATTGAAGATGGATGGGTAATTTTTTCATTGAAAGCAAGACAAATGAACAAGCTTTAAGATGATACCAATAACTCAATATGCACAAAAAATGACGAGAGCCTGATTCCACCACGCTGCCTCACATAGAATCTAACAACTTTCAAACCTGCTGCACTATGTTGTCTCTGCCCAGGACACTTCTTCCCTTGGACTGGAGAAATTCCAAGTGGGCTGTCTTTGCATATTCATCAGGATGACTTGCAAGCAACCTGTCCTCTCCACAGTAATCATAGGCGATCCGCTGCTGTACAAAATCAATAACCTGGAGGGAATGAAAATGACCATGAGAAAGGTTGGCAACCACTGTGAAAGTAAAATATATATATATTATGTATATCTTTCATGAGCATAAAGGTTCTTTCCATCTATTACTTTCTTTTTGCCTTTGTAGTTAGGTATCTCACTTTCAACACAAATTAAGGCAACTTAAGAAGTCTTTGCATCTTCAATAATTTAGGTCGGAAGAGCTCAAGACTGACGTTGACACAGTATTGCTTCCTTTTCCAAAACAGAAGTAAGCTGATTGAAAACGGAATTACAACTACATCTGTAATATATTTAATTGTTCAACACCAGGCGTGTTCCTTGATATGTATACCAAATATTTCATTTGCCACAACAAGCTTTTAACATCCGTCATAACTACAAGCCTTTCCCTTCAATGGAAAAATTCTAGAAAAAACAACAAACTTGCCTTCTGTTTTAAATCTTCTGGAAATTTGAGTATGGGCCTTTTCTTTGGGTCAACACCCCGGAATTCTGCAGTGTAGGAGACCACTCGATGTGGCTGCAATGACATAAGAAGACATTTTTACAGATTATACTCATGATCAGATAAAAAGTAATAGTAGTTAATAAAGAGTCCCATTATTTTCGTTATAAATAATCAGAATAGAAGTAATAGTTCTTAATAAGAGTCCCGTTATGTGTTTGCGACTTCAAACAAATGTAGAAAATGACAAAGAAAAAAAAAAAGAGAAAAAACATGAAAACTTCCAGATGCATTTACCCTATACAGCCGTTCCTGTCCTATTCATACATGCACGTGCACACACAAATGGAAGAGGGAAAAAAAGAACAGAAGCAAAGAAGAAAAGATGAAGAAAAGATGAAGAAAAGGGACGGCCTTGGATGACTTAGGCCTAGCCTTGGCCCTTTGCCGTTTCAGAGTTTACAAGGTAAGAGTACGACGGATCCCGAGTCCACACAAGGCCTGCACCAACGCGCGTTTCGCAGAGAGTTCTAGATCTAGTAGTAATCAAAATTTAAAATACGAATATTTGTTTCCAAGGTCAGTTTTTGTCCCCTGGTGTTACCTTCAACCTTCCCCCGAGTGTATCTTGAAAAAAAAAAAATCAATCAATAATTCCCCCCCATTCCGGAGTCCTATACTTCGCAGCACTCAGACTTCGAATGAACTTTGGTGACCCCTACAATTGCCTGTACTCATAATGTGATGGAACGCCCAGGTTCAATGACCAGTCCCGATGGCGAGCCCGACAAGACGCTTGTATAACTATAACTAAGTATAACTTTCTTTTATTTTTTACACAAGTGACAGCACAGGACAAATATTGATTTATTTTCATGACCACACAGCATTGGCCATGCACAACCTGCATGTTACAATTAATGTTGCGTTATCAAACTACTACCAGCAAATTTCTGGGTGGTAACGAAAGCAAAAGTAGATCTTGATTTTCCCTATCAAACCTTGGTACCGAACATACTTCCGCTTACCCCCATAGCCGCCTGTTCGCATGAAGAAACGTACTCTCTGTCCATAGAAAGCCAAATGAATATCACAATCGCGACCGGCAAAAATGAACTTAAAAGGGCTTTTTCGGATTTGGTTTTCAAATATTCTATAACTTTTATGTATTTTCCCGGGGCAATTTACAGATTTCCTCAAATTCCTGGGTATTTCCCGGGGCCTGGCAATCACCCTGCAGAATCAAGAAGTCGGTGGCTTATCTCTCAGAATCGGTGTATCGGTAGTTTGACCAATTTTTCGATCGCTACCCGGATTCGAACCCGAGACATTTGAAAGAGAGGCGAAAACCTTAACCTCTAGGCTGTAACTCTACATCAATAGCATCCTATAAGCTTGTAAAAAGACACCCCCCCCTCCCCCCCAAAGGACCTCAAGCTCCTATTGTTTCAGCATGATACAGATAAAAACCCCAGTCATTTCCAAGAAACACCACGTAAATGAAATGTGTATAACCCGATGTTTTCTACACAATGAGGACTGACTTGAGCAAAATGAAAGGAATATGAAGGATAAGATAAGATACGATAAGATAAGATAGTACTTTATTATCCCAGAGGGAAATTTTCCTTGGCTGTACAGGACCGTAAAAACACATGCAGGTATACATAAAAAAAAAAAAACCCAGCTAAGGACACCCTAGTGGTTTGCTATCAATTAATGGCAACAACTTACTGGAAATTTGTGTGAGATCTTGTCGTTGGGCCCACAGATCTTCTGTGAAGCAGAACTGCCACGAATAAAGCTGGACTTCACCTCCTCCGAAAGATTGGCAACAAAAGAGTCATCTCTGGAAAGGTAGATAGCTGCAACAAAGGACGAGAGAAGGGATGATTCGTCATATCTATAAAGCGACGAAGTAGTGGGATATTTCCTTCCTTTTTAATACAAACTAAATCAGCACAGCAACTTGAGTACAGTGGAGTTTCTACAATTCAGGAACAAACAAGAATCATCTGTTTCTATCTTTACTTTACTTTACTTTTTTCTTCCGCTTGTACCCTGGGGTGTCGCAGGGAGACACAGGCGTCTGTCTGCAGCAAGTCGTGTGGCCTGTAGGAGGGACATCCCATGATCTCTAAGGGTGTCTGCCACAGATTCACTCCATCGTCGCCTTGGTATTCCTCTGGCTCTCCATCCAGAATATTTAGTGTTGTATGCTCTCATGTTTCTATCATCTCATGATAACTTAGGCACCCTGAACTGTTTACCACCCCCCCCCCCCCCCCAATGTCCATGTTACTATTACACACAAACTGTTAAATGAAACAAGGTAGGCCTATATTTCATTAAAACTGTCATAGTCTGAACTAAAATTTGTCATAATGTGGACAATGTAAGTTACAGTCTTTGAGTTATTTGAAAAAAAAAGCAGAAAAAAGCAACAAAATAAAATAATCATTAAAAAAATAATGATAATTGCATGCACATATTCACATTTTACTGCAAGCTCTATGCCCTTAACAACCATTATTAACCAAGCAGACCCCAGAACACTCATATCTATTCTCAGCTTTCCGGGAAGCATACAGTACAGGCTACAGATTGCACATGCTCAAACATTAACAAACTGACAAGACCTTTCTCTCTCTATAGCCAGGTACCGATTCCCACCTGGGTGAAAGGAGGAAAATTTGTGAAAAAGTGCCATTCCCACGGACACAGCATCGAGCTCCTGACAGGATTTTAACGCACAACCTAACGGTTGCCAGTCAAAGGACCTAACCACTGAGCCATTGACACCACAAGAGCTAGAAAGCTTTTCAAAGATTAGTTTTAGTAAGTGTTTTACGCCACTTGCAACACAATAAGGTCATTTAAGTGCCGAAGATCAGAGATGTTACAAGAGAGTAACAAACACAAAAAAGAAGGTGGGGAGATAAGGACCATAGATGTTTGATATGAAAGAAGAAGTAAATCACACCAGAGCACCCGCCAACGTTTTCAAAGAGAAAGCTTAACTAAAGCTGATGTTAATTAATTATCAATATACTGATGTGTTACCAGCAGCACCAGCTCCTCACAGAGCAAGGGCTACAACATACACACAACACGTTCATACAAGTGCCATAGAATAGAGATCTTACAAGAGAGTAACAAATACAAAAAAGAAGGAGAGATATGGACAACAGATATTTGATAGGAAAGAAGGAGCAAACCACACCAGAGCACCCGCCAACTGCCCACACAATACAAGTAAGGTACAACCCACTCCCCAAGTCTTTTCATGCCGTGACAATCACAGCCAGCTGTTTCCAGGCGTACGTGTAATTCAACAACTATATTGTGCACTAAGACAAGCAATTTGAAATGAGGGGGGGGGGAGGAGGAGAGAAGGGACTATACTTTATTCTTTACTTTTAACCCTAACAACAGGTCATCACATATTGAGGAAAAAAAAATTCCCACTAACAGTTCAGATTGTCCTCCCTGAAGGCCCCTGACAACAGTTCCAGGTCCTCGTAGAGCAAGCCGTATGCCTCCTGATAATCCTCCACCACTTCCTCGGAGTATTCCCCCCACATGGGCACCCAGCCCAGGGAAGAGCTGGAAAACACAAAAGTTCGTCAATACTAAAGAAAAGCACATGGGTGACATGGGGTATTTCTTTCCACAAACAAAACAAAAAAAATTATAATAAATTTACATGTTGTGTTCTAAGTTGGAAGATTATGGATTGATCTCCCTTCCTCAACTCATTGATTGGATCTTTGACCAGTGGTTTATTCATGTGGCCATACATCCTCCTTCCTGTCGTACCTGTGGCCCAATTATTCATCCACTCTTCCTTGAGGTTTGACTTGATCATTTGGCAGCAGGTGGCAATAAATTTACACCCCTCTCCAAACCCCCCACCCCCAAACCCCTCCCCAACAACAAAAGAAAACAAACAAACAAAAGACAAATACAATAGATACTACGAAAGAAGTACAACGTATCACTTTAACATACCAGAGGCACCCACTTATCATTTAGAGCTTTAAAAAATACAACAAGAAAAGAAAAGACAGAAATAATAAACTACTAGGAACAAGGTACAGTCTACAGACCTAGGTGACATCCAGCCTGAGCATGCTTTTTTGTTTTAGAAGAGGTTTTACAGCGCTCGCAACTGCATAAGGTCATATGAGCGTCAGAAGATTAGAGGGGTCACAAGAGAGTAACAAACATAAAAAAGAAAAAGGGAAGATAAAGACGATAGATGTTTGATACACCCGCCAACCACCCACTGGCGGATGTTTGGTAAAAGTGCAGCACCGTACAAGTTGAGAGCGTGTGAAAAATCTTTGGCTTGATTTGAAAAGAAGTACACAGACGGAATGATGTTTCCTTTATTTTC